TTTATGTAAGACTTTCAGGAGTTTTTACTGGGAAGGTCAGTCTGGGCAATTAGTCTGCCATAATGCTGGAAATAGAAATCTAGTATACTTACTTAAAATTGACACAATTATAAGAGGGAAAAGTCATCAAATGGAGCTTGGTATTCAGGACTGGAATTGCCCACACAGCACTGAACGCACCTTATGAGTGCCCTGAAGAGTGCACGGGTGTCAGACGAGAAGCCACGCAGAGTATGGCTTGCCCAGCCAGCGTGGGTTCTGCTTGGACATAACAGCAGAAGTAGGGTGACCAAGCAAGTGGAGGGTATTTTCAGGAGGCCTATTTAGAAGTAATCATTTTATCTCTAAGGGATTAGAGGCTCCCTTGGGAGAGGAAGGCTTGGCAAGACTTGCCTTCTAGTTGCTGATTTGAGCCCACAAAAGCCAGTAGGACTTGGCTTTGTCCCCTTGTAATTAATGGGATATGTGTTCTTCCATCAAAATGGCTCTGTGGGAGTATCCAAGAATGGATGCAGAGGGGACCACAGATCCATACTGGCCTCAACATCTCCTTTCTCCCACTCACCACCTCCAATTAGGCACTCAGTGCTCTTGGGTCTACCTTCTAAAGAGCTCTGGAGTATCTTCACCTGTACCTACCTCTGCTACCACCACCCTGGTCCAAGACACCACCACCTCTTGTCTGGACGGTATCTACTGGCCTCAATGTACCTACTCTCTACCTTTCCCTTCCCAAATTCATTCCGCACCAGTAGCCAAAGTCATCTTTTTAAAAATGCAAATCAGGTTATGTGTCTCCCAACCTCTTAAGTTTTAACTGCAGTGATTTCCTATGACTTGTTAGGATAAAGTCCCAAACCCTAACCTGGCCCGTCAAGCCCTGTTCCCCAACCTTGTCTCCTGCCACTGTCTCCATGTTAGAGTTGTTCTAGCCGCCCTGGTTCCCTGGTGTTTCTTCCGTGTTGCACTTACCTGTTTACCAGGAGGACTCACCCTGCACCCTCCTCAAGCCTTCATTTTCTTCCAGCATTATCAAGGTGTAATTGACAAATAAAATTCTATAAATTTAATGTGTTCAACATGATGAGTTGAGACATATATATATATATATATATATGTATATGTATATATACACTGTGAAATGATTACTACAGTCAAGTTAGAGCACACATCCAGCATTTTTGTGCTTACGGTGAGAGCGTTTGAGATCTACACTCCAGCCAATTTCAGTATACAATACAGTATTGTTAACTGTAGTCACTGTGCTGTACACTAGATCCCCTGAACGTGTCCCCTGAGCTTAGTTGTACAGCTGTAATTAAATGTTACCCTTTGAGTAACCTCTCCCCATCTCCCCACCACCCCGCCCGTGACTACCACCATTCTACTCTCTATTTTCGTGAGTTCAACTTTTTTAGATTCCACGTGGAGAGAAATCATGTGGCATGCGTCCTTCTCTATCTGACGTATTTCACTTAGCACCGTACCTTCCGGGATTCACCATGTTGTTGGGAATGGCAGGATTTCCTTCTTTCTGTGGCTGAATAATATTCCATTGTGTGTATGGACACACACACTCACACCCACACATACATTCCCACACACACTACAATTTCTCCATTCATCTGTTGGTGGACACTTGGGTTGTTTTCATGTCTTGGTGACTGTGAGTAATGCTGCAGTGCACACAGTAGTTGGTGCAGACATCTCTTTAGGCTGTTGATTCCATTTCTTCCTGATACATACCCAGAAGTGCAATTGCTGGATCGCATGGTAGTTTTATTTTTAATTTTGGGGGGAACTTCTATACTGTTTTCATTTTTTAAGTCCCTGGAGCCCAATGAAGTGCCTGGTACATCAGAGGGTGTCAAAAATGTTTCTTTAATTAAATGACAGAATTGGCGTAGTTGTAGAATTTATGAATCTATTGAAAATATGGTAAAATGTGTGCAGTGGGGACAGGACCGCATACCAAGGAAAGGTAGGGAGAAGAGAGTGTGTTTGTGACATGAAAGTCGGGGAGTGTTGCGGTCGGGCTAGTGGGATTGTGATTCGGGAATATGGTCCTGTGGTCTCGGGACCATCTGAGTGTACATTACTTAGGATAATCTTAGATGTGGGTAGCAAAGAAAAAAAGTCCAACTCAATGGATTTAAAAAAGGATATTTACTACATATATCATGATGAGGAATTATTATTATCAGACCACTGTCTAATCCAGCAGTCAGTGATGTCCTCAAGGACCCAGGTCATTCTTTTTGCTCTGCCCTCAGGCTTCCTATTCATGGCTGCAACCTGGCTGCGAAGTTCTCGGCAGCATACTCGACAGCACAGCACCCAGCAGAGGAAAAGGGCCGGGAACACACCTCCTGGAGCTCCCCAGCAGGTCACCTCTGATGCCTCGACAGCCAGGGGTGGGCTAGCCCACCCAGCCTATCCACTGGCAAGGGGCCCACGTTTGTTTTGACGGGATGAGATCCCTGAGCTGGGGACAGGTCACTGTTCCAAGTGGTGAACAAAACTGGAGTTCTGCTAGAGAGGAGGAAGGGAAAAGTGGACGTTGCTTAGGCAAGCAGCAGGGTCTGCCTCTCCCTGACCCAGACAACCTGTAAATGCATTGCTTGAAGTCAGGAGAGGAACACTTTCCTCTCTCTGTTCCACCCACAGGTCATGCCTTGACCACAGCCGCCCTTCGGGAGGCTGGCACAGAGCCACAGCCAGGTCATCAGGCTGCTTGTCAAGGGTGTGGCAGAACTGCCACTCTTCCTCCGTGAGCCTGCCCCGAGTGTCCACCAGGCACTTGGTACATGAGGGACCCTGAGCCCTAGGCAAGCCCGACCAGAGCCCTGGGATCCAGGAGGAGTCAATCCAGGTACGCTGCCTCCTCTGCCCCGGGGACGTGTCTGGACTCGGGGCTCGCTTATGGTAAGAATCGGCATGCGGGGAGCGGCACCTGCAGGAAGGCTGGGCCAGATAAACAGGTGTTCTCCGTGAGGAGGAGGAAAGCAGCAGCTCTACTAAGGGTCTCTGATTTCTTCTGGTTCCTCCTTCTTAAAAACTCTGTCAACTCACCAAAGGGACTTTCAGACCACCTGGATCTCATGTTTTTTGCTTGTCAAATTCATTGAGAGCTGTACCATCCACCGGGTCTGCCTCTCTCACCAGGGAGAGACGGCTGATGGGGAACAGGAGGGGAGACTCCACCGAGGGTGGCAGGTAGAGATCCAGCCAGCCCTGGGCATCCACAGTGGGCAGGAAGCTTGTGCTCCAGGCCAGGGACATTGGTGACAGCTTCTGGAAATTGCCTAATTGCCTGGCATCCTAAAGACTGTCCTAAAGAACTGGAAGCTAGCCCTTCCAGACACAGCTCGGGAGCAGTGACACAGATGCAGGAGAAGGCTGTCTGGCCGGCAGCACAGTGGGGTTAGCCAGGAGGGACTGCCACGGCACCCACTGGCGCGCACGGGGGTGATGCTCACTTGGCCATCGTGATGTATATTTTTTGTTTTTTTGCTGAATCTTCAACCCAATTGTCCATTCTTTGAGGGAAGTAATAGAACATGTTATTTCTTAGTACTCAGTCATTGTTTATTGGTTGGTTTGACCCAGGCAAGACCCGAGAGTTTTCACTTGTTTGGGCAGAGTTGTCATCAGTTTCTGTTGACACCTAGAGATGGAGCAGTGTCAGGTACTTTTGCCGCTTGAGTTGGCTCGAGGTTCCTGAGTATATATTAGTTTCCTAGGGCTGTAATCACAAAGTACCACAGGCTGGGTGATTGAAGACCATGGAAATGTGGTTGTCTCTCAGTTCTGGAGGCCGGAGGTCTGAAATCAATGTGGCAGCAGGGCCATGCCCCGCTCTGATATGTGGGAGGCCCCTTCTTTGCCCCTCCCCAGCTCCCGGGGTTTATTGGTCATTGTTGGTATTCCGTGGCTCCCAGCCATGTATCTCCAGTTTCTGCCTTCATCAGCACGTGGCATTCTCTGTATGTGTGTCTGTCTCCAAATTTCCACATGTTGTAAGGGCATGGCTAGTATAGGATTCGGGGCCCACCCTACTCCAGTCTGATCTCATCTTAACTAATTACGTCTGCACCAACCCAGTTCCCAAATAAGGTCATGTTCTGAGGTTCCGGGGGGTTAGGACTTGAACATATCCTGTTTTGGAGATCACAGTTCAGCCCGTAGCACTACGTGAGCTCGTGCACAGTGCAGGACTAGGAGCAGACGCAGGGCTGGGGCGAATACCAGCAGCATCCCTGGTGCTGCCTGGAATTGACGGGGAGAAGGGAGAGCAGGCACTCGTGCCCTCTGTTCCGGGCATTCTCCAGGCAAGTGTGCTTGAGCCGGGGTCCCGCTGGGCACACCAATGATGTTCTCCAGTGGAGGAACCGCACCCGCCTGTAGCTCTCCTTTGTTTAGGACGAGTGGGGCAGAGCCTTGACAGGGGAACAAAAGCCTTGGGTTTCAAGTGCCTAACGTCGAGGAAGGCAGGGAAATTCCATCTGCCAGCATCTGTGAAGCCTCAGTTCAGGGAAGCTGATTTGGCAGCCTCTCCCACAGGGGCATGGGAGTAGCACCCCTTTCTCCTGGGAGAGGGGGAGCCACTCGTTCCACCTAGCTCATAGCCAGGCAATGCAGAGAGAGCTCCCGACACCAGATACCGAACAACCTGCTTGTCTCCAAACCTAGTAAAACTTGGACCCTTTCCTACCAACTTTTCTGCCTCTCCAGTTCCAGAGACCTTACTGCAGAGGTTGCAAACTGGAGGCTTATGGGCAGTTTACAATGTTTTTTATTATTTTTTGATAAGCAACATCGCTCATCACTGGCTGAATCGTACCCTGCCTCTATCTACCTGTCCTGCCCAGCCCCTCCCCCATAACCACTTTTATTAGTTTTCTACATGTCTTTTCAATGTTTCTTTTTACAAATACTTAGTCAATACAAATATATATATCCTGTCTCCATCCCTTTCTTTCTTTCCATCCCTAATTATAAGAATACTATTCACAATTTTTTAAACCTTGCTTTTTTCACTTCATTTATCTTGGCCATCTTTCCCTATTCATATGTTGAGAGCTTCCTCATGCTTTTTGCTACAGGGGTATAGTATCCCATGGTATGCATGCACCATCATTTATTTAAACAATCACAGGTTGTTTTCTGTCATTGCTGTTTTTACAAGAAATGCTGCTGTGAGTAAGCCTGCCATTTTGTATTGTCCCTGAATGTGGTAAAACGTTTAAAAATTCTGAAGTATCTTTGAATTATCACAAGGACTGAAACACTGGGTTCTAATCGCTGTGTGTGGGACTGACTGCAGCTGTCTGTCTAGGGAGGTCGACCTGCTCCCATCTGACGCCTTCCCCACCACCTCGCACTGACTCTTCCAGAAGCCTGGGCGCTGAGCACCGTTTATGGTCACAATTATGCTATTTTCCCTATAGGCCATTAAGGAGGAAGGGAAAATCACTCCTGTACTCATGTCTCTTCAAAGTGAAAAGTGAAAGCCAAGGAGGCCGTCTTCCTCCAGCAGAAGGGAGCGGGCACATCTCTCTGGGTGCCATTCTGCTTCGCTTGCACCCGACCCCTTGCTCATCCTGCTCCTTGCCTGGACACTCGGGTTTGCAGCCTCTGCCTTGCTTTGCAGCCCAGGCCTTTCTCCCGTCTCAGAAGTGGAAGGGCAGGAACGCAGCTCTCTGCTTGCTCTAGCATTGTCTGGGCAGCTACTTGGAGATCAGCAATAGAAATGAAAGAAAAGACAGTCAAAAGTATTGTTCTATAACATGTATTATCTCACCAACCCCCCCCCAGAGGAAGAAGTATTACTGTCTCCATTTTATAGCTAAGGAAGCAGTGACGGAGTGAAGAAGCTTCACCAAGATTCATAACTGACATGCGGCAGAAGTAGGATCTGAACCCAGGATTTTCTGGCTCTAGAACCTGACGTTTCAGCCAGTATATCATGCTCCTTCCAAAGTCTTTAAAAACAGATGTGGTTTGCAGTTACATCTCTCACTACCTAAGTTTGCTGTTGCTGATGCCCTGGGGGGAGGGTCATGGCAAGCATATGCGTCTCCGAAATTGGTCCCTGTGGCTGCCTAACCCAGAGGAGGTGATGGCAGTACACCTTTGTTCTCCTGACAGAGGTGATGGCTCATCCTCGATGGCCTTTCCTGTTTTATAGAGTAGAATTGGCTCCACTGTTTCCTTTGCTCTTTTAGCCCCCAAACATTTACTGAGCAACTTCTGAATGCCAGGCTGTGTGCTCGTTGTGAGTGGTAAGATGAACGAGCCGCACCCTTGTGCTGGGGGCCTACCTCCCACAGGGCAACAGAGAGCTGCAGGGCCACCAGGCAGGTGTGGTCCTGGTGACATAGATGTGTTGGGACAGGTCCTGAATGTGGCAAAAGAGATGAACTCACAGTGGAGCAACAAAGCGGGTGGTTTCCAGCTGTCTTACGTCTTCATCATCTTACACTGCTTCACAAAGGAAGGAAGCAGGGCCCGGAAGTGGAGGCCGTGAGCTGAGGGATTGAGCCATCCTTCTGCCCACAACCCGCGGTGACCGTGACAACGGCTGCGGCTCTCTGGAGGTGAGCCCAGTCAGGGTTGAAGCTGGGCTGCCGAAACTTCCCCTCTGCTGCCCCTGCCTCAGCTTTTCTCATTCCTGGCACCTGCTTAGCCTGCGAGCCAGGCGGCCGCAGGGCACTCACCCTGGGAGTCACTGTTCCACCAGAGGGCGAAATCCTCTTCCCAGTGAGGGACTCTGAAACCAGCTGGTGACTTGGGGGGAGTGCCGGGGTCGGGGAAGCGGGGACCAGGAGGGCACAGGACTCCCCTGACCTCTGACACACCTCAGCAGCAGGATGTGCAGGCTTCTCCTCACCGAGCTTTCTGTTTTGATGGCTGCTGTTTATCCTCTTCTCCCCCACGTCTGTGTGCAGCAGCCTCTGTCGTCTCTGTGGTTATCTTAGGACAACTGGGGCTTTGCTTTTCTACTTGTTCTTTCTCTGAGTGCGATGTTAACCACAGCAGCCTACAGGCAGAGGGGAGGGGGAGGGAGCCAGTTGCTTTTCGTTCAGATGCTGTGGTCTTCAGCTGCAGCTGGTGTAAGTGGTGAATCGGACAAAGCAAAGATGTGGAAACTCAGTCCCAAGTGACCGCAGGGCGCCTGTTGCTTGTGCTTCCTACGGATGAGTAATTAGAAGTGACTTGTTTTCAGGTTGGAAACGAACAGGTATTTTGAGGCTACAGCCCTGTATGTGTGTTTCTTGATCTGGCAGCTATGTGAAGATACAAGGGAAAAACCTCAGACCTCCCTTGCCTTAAAGGAACATAGTGACAGGAAGGGGAGAAAAATATCCAGTTGGCCCACATTGTTGGGCCTGTCTCCTCATTAGGAAAATGAATGGGGTTGGGTTTGGTATTCCCAGTGGGGTCAGTACTGCCCCCTGCAGTAATGCCTTGCAAACTTCCAAAGAAGTTATCTAAAAGCCCAGCAATTTAGGAAATGGTTGTTTTGGAAAGAGAAGCCTAAATGGAATAAAGACAGAGCCTTGAACTGACGAGACAGTTTCCCCACTTCACGTATTCTACCTAGACTAGAGTGTCTCCAAACTTCCACTGAACTGAAGAGGGTTCCGGGGCAGTGTGCGGTTACTGCAACGCCAAGAGAGACCATCTGCAGATTCGTCACGGGAGGCTGGAGCCTGCATCTAACAGGCATAGAACTAGATACTGTTAAATTAGCAGAGGCAGATGAAATATCACCACTCAATGAACTTCTTCGTTAAAGCCGCTTTTAAAATAGTTTATATTCTTACATATATATTTATATTTGTAGTACAATGATAAGAAGTCTCTTGTGAAAATTAGATATCACAATTATTTTCTTTGGGGTTGCCTTTCCTTCTTTCCTCTTACTATGATAATCTCCTTCAAGATCTACCAAACACCTCCAGTCCCCCTCTTCTCCCCACCGCCCCCACTAAAAGGATATCATTTTCAAGGCTTTATTTTTTAAATCATGGAGACTGAAAGTAAGCCTCAACACTGTGGGTGGGGTTTCCAGATTAGAGACATGTTTTCCGTGATACTTTGTCACTACCCTGTCCCATGTCACAGCGTAATAAATTACTATGACAGTACCCTTACATGTGAGACTTAGCTCATTCGCAGGAGTAATGCTCCTCCCTGTTTTCTCTGCGCCCACATTTGTTATTTGGTTTGGCTTGTTGTCTGTGCCTCAGTGAAGATTATTTCCTTCCTCCTGTTATCATATATAGCCAGGAAAGTGGGTTTGTTACTTCTCAGCCCAACACTGCTTTATTCTGTTGTCCTCCTGTGTCCCCCTGCTTGCTTGTGTCCTTGTACCTCTTACAGAGACTGGCTTCTCTGTCTTCCGCTGAGCCCACACTAGTCCATCATAAGTGGGCGTGAGCGCTGAGTGCTTCATTAGTGTTCCAGTGCCGGCACACACGAGCGCTTACGTATCGAAAGATATACAGTTTTATTAAAATTATGTTTCTTTTTTTCTCCTTTATATTATAATTAGAGCTAAATTATGCATATGGGTTGTCTAACATATCTAGGAAGGTTTTTCAGGTGGTGAAGAGAGTGTTTCTAAATATTTGTTATGAAAATGGGGCATTGATTGGGTAGGGTGCAGCCCCACTGAATTAACCGATCTTTAAGGTCTGTGACACTCTGTGCAACATTTACGAAACAGTAGGTGACAGTCTGATCCATGACTAAGTTGCAAAAAAGAATCCTGGAGGAGAAAGCGATCAGCGATAGCTGGTGTGATTTATCGTGTCTTCTTTGATGAAGCACTGTCCCAAAGACGCGGCTCCCTCCGCCCCGCCCCCACCATCCCAGCTGCAACTTAGAAACTGCGGAATTAAAAAAAGAAAAATACTCATTCCATGATCCCACCCCGGTCACTTGAAATCGAATTTCTGGAGTGAGGCCCAGACATCTGGAGTGTTTCAAAATATCCCCAGGTGATCTGACGCAGAGTGAGGATTGGGGATCTCTGTCTGCAGTGGGTGAATGGTCAAAAGATAGGTCCATGTCCTAAGGGCCAGACCTTATTTGGAAAAAGGGTCTTTGTAGATGTAATGAAGTTACATATCTTGAGATGAGCTCATTCTGGGTTATCCAGGTGGGCCCTCAATTAAATGACAAGTGTCCTTATAAGAGATACAGAGATGATAAGGTCATGTGAGGACAGGCAGAGATTGGAGTGATGTAGCCACAAGCCAAGGAAGACCTGAAGGTACCAGAGGCCAGAAGCAGGAAGTAACAGATTCCCTTCTAGCACCTTCGGAGGGAGCAGAGCCCAGCAGTCACCTTGACTTAGGACCTCTGGCCTCCAGAACTGTGAGAGGAGAAATTTCTGCTGTTTTAAGACACCAAGTTTTTGATAATTTGTTATTGCAACCCTAGTAGACTAATACACTGCCTAAAGGGTGGATAAGGTTTGGTGAGACGGAAGGAACACAGGAGAGCCTTTCAGGTACGAAGGAGTGAGCGCAGGGAGGCTGGAGGGCAAATAGAAGGCAGGACGAACTAGAATAGAGAGCTGGGAGGAGAGCAGCCAGCGTGGGAGAGCACACGGTGCGAGCTGCACGTGGCTGCTGACCAGCCAGCTGTCCCGCGGAGGCCTCTCGAGGGGCACTGCAGGACGAAGCACGGATCACGCCCGACCGTCCACACACTTAAGCAATGACATTTTCATTAACGATGCCCAGGGCAGGAGAGTCCCTGAGTGTTCTGGCTAGCTCAGCTGGGGCTGAGGGGGTGTGAGGTGCTTGTCCAAGAGCCCACCGATCTCATTACCGGTCCTCATGTGTGCGTTTCCCAGGCGCTAACTGGGGAGCAGAGGTCACCCTGAGCATGGTGCTGCCTTGGGTGGAGGAGAAGGGATTCAGCGCTGCCCGACATGACCGGGGGCTGCAGTGTGCTGTGCACTATTACGGTCTGCATGCAACCCAGTCCCAAATAAGGTCATGTTTTCTGAGTTCCGGGGAGGTTGGACTTGAACATATTTCCTGTTTTGGAAGAATCCACGTTTCAGCCCTCGTTAGCACTACGTTGGCTCGGCACAGTGCGGACTGGAGCGACGCAGGGTGGGGCGAATACCAGGCAGGGTCATCCCTGGTGCTGCCTGGAATTGACGGGGAGAAGGGAAGAGCAGGACTCGTTGCTCTTCTGTTCCGGGCATCTCCCGGCAAGTGTGCTTTGAGCCCGGTCCCGCCTGGGCACCCACCGATGATGTTCGTTCTCCAGTGGAGGAACCGCACCCGCCTGTAGCTCTCCTTTGTTTAGGACGAGTGGGGCAGAGCCTTGACAGGGGAACAAACAGACCATTTGGCTTTCAAGCAGCCTTAACAGTCAAGGAAGGCAGGGAAATTCCATCTGCCAGCATCTGGAGGCCTCAGTTTCAGGGGAAGCTGAGTTTGGGGGCAGCCTCTCCCACAGGGGCATGGGAGTAGCACCCCTTTCTCCTGGGAGAGGGGGAGCCACTCGTTCACCTAGCTCTGCAGTCCAATGGCAGAGAGAGCTCCCGACACCAGATACCGAAACAACCTTGCTTGTCTCCCAAAACCTAGTTTTAAACTTGGACCCTTTCCTACCACTTTTCTGCCCTCTCCAGTTCCCAGAAGACCTTACTGCAGAGGTGCAACTGGAGGCTTATGGGCGTTTACAAATGTTTTTATATTATTTTGAATAAGCACATTCAACATGGTTGATCTTACCCCTGCCTCTCATCTTACCTGTCCTGCCCAGCCACTGCCCCCCATAAACCACTTTTATTTAGTTTCTACATGTCTTTTCAACGGTTTCTTTTTGCAAATACTTAGGTCAATCAGGATATAATATTTATCCTTGTCTCCATCCCTTTCTTCTCCATCCTATTATAAGATACTATTCACAATTTTTTAACCTGCTTTTTCACTTCATTTACTCTTGGCCATTCTTCCCTATTCATATGTTGGAAGAGCTTCCTCATGCTTTGTTGCCTACGATACTATCCCATGGTATTGGCATGGCACCATTCATTATTTAAACATATCACAGGTTGGTTTTCTGTCATTGCTGGTTTTTACAAGAAATTGCTGCTGGTGAGTAAGCCTGCCTTTTGTATTGTCCTGAATGTGGGTAAAACGTTTAAAAAATTCTGAAGATCTTTGAATTTTCACAGGACTGAACAACTGGGTCTAAATCCTGTGTGGACTGGACTGCAGCTGTCTGTTCTAGGGAGGCGACTTGCTTTTCCCATCTTGAACGCCTCCCCCCACTGCATGGACTCTTTCCAGAATCCTGGCCGCTGAGCCATCCGTTTATTTGCGGTCACAATATGCTAATTTTTCCCTATAGGCCATTAAGGAGGAGGAAATCACTCCCTGTACTCATGTTCTCTTCAAAGTGAACAGTTGAAAGCCAAGGAGGCCGTCTTTCCCTCCAGCAGAAGGGGGCGGGCAACATGTCTCTGGGTGCCATTCTGCTTCGCTTGCACCCGACCCCTTGCTCATCCTGCTCCTTGCCTGGACACTCGGGTTTGCAGCCTCTGCCTTGCTTTGCAGCCCAG